CCCCCCCCCCCCCCGTCCCCTGATTGTTGTTTCTGTAGGAAGAAAACAGCCATTGCCACCCTCACTCAAGTCGTTACCCACCGATATACCATCCGTCCACACCCGGTACTACTGCTCACGGAGAAGAATCACACTTACATGTACATGCGCACGATATCATGTTTTTTTCGATATCCGAATGCTCTCGTCAACAAAGCAGCGCCGAGAGAACCATGGGGAGCAACGGGGTTTGCAGGCATCGCCGCATCGCAGGCCGTTGAAGAAGCTGCCGCAAAAGATGGCACCGACGAAGCCAAGAGCCCGTGGCCCGACTCCGACCTGTCGCCACCCACCAAGATGACAATAATAATTGCACCTCTCTCTGTCCTGGTTGCTGGTTACTTTCAACTTGAGGATCGTGATCCTTCTCGCGTGGCTCTGGGAAACCTTGTGGACAAGAAATTTATTGCCTCCGGCTTTGTGTGGCAGATGATTTACTCGGCCTTGAGGTTCATTCTGACACGGGTTTGTGGTAGCTGGTAGCAAGAATCACCCTTCTCCTCCGTAGAGAGAGGGGACGCGCTGGGACAACGAATAAACAAACCCTTGTATTTGGTAGTAAGTAGATTTTCTAGTTTGTAAATATTCAGCAGACATGTTCGATCATGGTGGCTTTCCTTGCTCGGGTTAGCTATTACCTGGTATTCGTCAGTCCAAGGTGTGAGCCCTGGACATCAACGCGCAAGCGCTTGTCGTTTTATTCATATTTGGGCAGTCTGTACCTCCAGCGGTTACTACCCCGTCGAAGTACATTACACGTTCGTTTGTGTATCGTCCATTTTGTGAGATTTTTTTTTTGCCCTGTTGTTGTGATCAAAGCAGCCGCCCTCGCTGTAAAGTTTTGGGAGGACTTGGTATATTATCAGATGAAGTACTTCGTAAGATATACATACGTCTATATAATAATCAGGGTAGGCAACTCTTCACTGATCGAACACGTTTTGCTTGTCGAGCCCCGCCCCCCTCTGGACTGGAGATATATCTTTGCGACGACGACTGACCGTTCACCGAAAAAAGTTGCTGAGCCTGACAATTTTCCTGCTCTATCGAAGCCTAGTCGAAGTTGTGCGGTGCCAGTGTTTTGTATATGGGCGCTCGTGTGCTACGTATGTTGCGGGGCACCACTTCTTGTTTGCCAATCAAACAAAATTACAAAAATTTTCTGAGACCTCAAACAAGCGGGTTGTACATATCGCCGCCCTTCTTCCTTTGCCGATTTAACGGTAGCTCGTGCGGTGATCGATCCCTAGGACCTTCTTGAGTATGGAGAGAGTTGGTGGAGTTTCAGCGCACCATCCCCCGGGGGCATGTCGCAGAAGTTGCTTTTTTGGCTGAAAGCGACTGAGCCTCGTGCGACTTACTTAGAGTGGTCGCGTGACGACAATATGAGCCAACCCCAAAAACAGGTGCCTGCGCTGCGCGCAGTGTCTCGGCTTGTCTTAGCTTTGTCGGTTTGTCAGGGTCTGGCCTACACGAAAGAGCGGTACAACTACGTGGGTGCTTTACTTTTGTCGTCCTCGGCTTCAACATTTTCCTTACCCAAAAACACATCTCAAGACTCGCCCTCCACCCAGACCACAAGCGTCTCACACCAGTTCTCAGGTTCTATCGCTGTCATACAAAAGCGAAAAGGGGAGCGAAAACTAGACGCCGTTTAATCCTTACAACGAACACAAAAATACAAAAAATTCTCGCCGTGGGGGGGCTCACGTACGGACAAACTACCCACCCCCGGTGCCCGATAAAGGGCGTAACGCAGGTGACTAAGAGAAAAACAAAAAACACATGAGAGAGTAAATTAAGAATAGACGACACCTAACGGCCAAGACAAAAACAACCGCTATGCACGTCTCCCCGCTCGGGGACCCTAACTAACAGGAGAGCTTACACCTACGAGTGGGGAGATGGTACGCATCATTTGCATCGCAGCCGGCCGCCATCGATTGCAAATATTACAAACACAGAAGCACAAGGGTCGGGAGTGCTAGACGGAAATTTCCAACGAGTCTACCGCCCGACAACGAAACAAGTCCATTCCAGCACACATGTTGTTGCTGCCGCTGGCGCCGACGCCCCTCATCACTCCCAAACCCGATCGAATTCTGCAACAAGTCTGAACGGCGAAAAGCACGACGTTCGGGTGCACTCTCCTGCTTTGTATCGATGGATCGCTATTTTTTTCCTTCTTGTGCACACGCCGCAAGTGAAAAAAATGAGACTATACGTCGAAGCCGCCATTTCGTGCGCCGTACCAGCCCCCCTTCAACCCCGTCCTCGCGCCTTGCGGTCCAAGCTCGTCTCGGTCTGCGCGATCGATCTGGAGCGTCTGGTTCAGATACCAGTGCCGGCGCTGAGACGGGCGTCACGAGCGGCGGAGAGGTTGGTTGTCGTCGCCCGTGTGTGTGGTATGGTATGCAACATCGCCACAATGTTTGGGAAACTACCCGAACGCAATCGGTCACGCCACGCCGGAAGGGAAAGGGAGTCATTGTATAAATAGTGTGTGGGAAAGGTTTTAGTTTCCTGTGCTGTTGGGCAGCGAAACAGAGGGAGGTCTCTTTACGGTCTGGTACTGACTTTTTGGGTCTGGCAGGATGTTGAACCTAGGCTCCGCACACGGGATGCGTCACACACCGCGGCCGATCCGACCCATCCCAACTCAACTCCAACCCTAACCTACGACCGACGCACGACCTAGCGGCCGTGAACTCGGCGAGAACGCGGCTGCGCCGCGTTGTTGGAATGCGATAGGGAGAGGGTACTGTAGAGGAATTGACCGCTCGAACCAACGCTCCACCAATCAGAGGGCGCACAAGCACGTGGCTGGTAAGAGTCACTCATTAGACCGTAAAAACGTACAGAACAAAGGACAACGGAATGACAAGGCAAATAGCGCGCGAACAAACGGCCGCAAGCAGACCGCATGGAACAAAACAAACTCAGGCATGATGGACAGGCCAAGACGGGCGGAGAGCACTTGTTCATAGAGTTGAAAATCATTTACCGCCCCAATTGTGTGACGGAAGGGAAAAGTGTGGGGGACTCCGTGGCGACGACGGTCTTCCTTAGCGGTGGCTAAACAGTTACTCTGCCGTACAGGCCATGGGTGGATGTCTAGAGGACAAGGGCACAGACAGTCATCATGCACGCGACAATACGAAGGAAGTAAGCCCACGCACTACCTCCACCCCAAAACTTGACTACGAAGGCAGTTCGAAGATCTCTACACGCATCATCGCCCACCCATTATTGTCTGTTTCCTTGAGTCTTTGCCCGAATCGTTCCGGAACATGCTGCATCTCCACGGACCGGAGGGAGAGAAACGCAATGAACGCAATGCTACAGTGTAATTCTATGCTGAAATAGAAATTGACGGGTGGTCGTACACAGCTGTGGGCAAGGTCATCGACACCGCTGTGGCGTATCTGGATTTTTGTTCCATCCTCTCGGCGGCGACTACGTACGTGGCTAGACTGTGGCCATCAGCGAAAAATGGCTCAAGTCCGAACTTCTTACAGCCGCATGTGCATGTTCAAACAGCTGCTCAGCCTCCCTACGCGATGCTCGTAACTTTGGCTGCGACCACGAAATTTGTGTTTTTTTCGTTTCGACGGCGAGCACGCGATGCGGCGGTGAACGTACTGCATGCAGAGGGATGTTGAACTCAAGCTTTGACAAGATTAGCAGCAACGCCAAAACCAACTGGAATAGCGTCAGGGGCGGAGAGGAGCTGCGGTGAATACACATGCACTCACCTCTTCTGCCATCGCGGCTTCTGGTGGTGGCGGTGCCGCGGCCTTGGGCCGCTTCTTGCAACACCGGTTGCACGTCTTGATGGACCATTTCTGCAAGGGGTCGTACACCTTGCAGTAGCAGCATGCCAAGAAGGTCAAGCCTGCCAGTATCAACCCGGCGATAAGCACGTAGGCCCCATCGTCCTCTGACACGCCAAAGACATCAAAGAGAGCCCGTCGCTCGTGCGAGTGCCCTCCGTCTTCCATGCTCCAGCCTGCCTGCAGCAATTCCTCCAGGTTGTGTCGCTCTCGGAACAACGATTCTTGCTAGTCCTCACTGAACGATTTCCCACCTCCCCCTGTCTTGCTTCTCTTTCCCTCCCTCTGAAGTGTTGTCCACCCTCTCCTCCAAGCTCAATGCTGTGTGCGGTTCCGACGCACGTAGCCCTCGTCCCGATCCGTACGTTTGCGGCCTCCCTCGTCGTACGGGTGCTGCTGTTGCGTTGTGCGGCAGGCACCAAGAGCCAGAGCACGAAGGGTTGGGCTATCAGGCGTGGTTGATACATCTCTACTCTGCTAACTTCGAACCTAGCGTCCAACCAAAAGGCGAACTTGTAACTATGGTATCTCCAGCAACGCCAAGGGTATCATTCACCGCCTAGATACGCTTCCTTGAATTTCCTTGGAAATGGTACATTGGTGTTCTACGAATCTATGTTCATCCTGCAGAAGGAAGCCCGGATTGTTTCGGGTGGGGTGTACGAAGTGTAACCATGGAGGCCGCAATACAGTGCCGGCCCGCACTTCAGAATATGGCACTCAAGAATTTGATGCTAAAAAAAAACAAAACTTAAGATTTTACCGATAAGAACACGTGCTCAGCTGCACGCCCTGTTAGGAACAAGGGTCACACACCTGAGGTGCAAAATTGCTGCTAGAAACAAGAACGACAGCAATGCAGCGGCTGCCAGATAAGAATACTCGAAGGGGGGGGGAGGGAAGAGGGGGGAGTAATCCCAGAGTACAGAGTATTGGATTTGGGAGGGGTACATACCCCACATATCAACATTTGTATTTTTTTAGAGGGGGATGGTGGGCATTGTACGCACGCGTCGTGCTTCTGGGTGCCCCGGAGAAAAGAGTGATGCGCGAGCGGGGTGAGCTCCCGAAGGCGAGGTCGATTCTTATCATGGACAACTTGCACGCGCAGACCACGGACGAGTTCAAGGAGTATCTTGCGAAGCACTGCAACACTCTCGCCTGGTATGGCCCTTCGGAGTGCACGGACGAGGTGCAGCCAGTTGATGCAGGAGCCGGACGATTTCTCAAGGTGGAAGTCGGGAGGCAGATGGACATATGGCTCGAGCAGTCGGACAACCCCGAGAGGTGGGAAACCGCGTCGCTGACAGCTTCTGATCGGCGCGTCCTGATCACTCAGTGGATGGGAGTGGCCATGGCAAGACTCAACAGCCAACAGGCGTACCGATACCGTCTTTTCGAAAAGTGCGGGATGGCCATGACCGTGGACGGCTCGGGCGATGATCGAATCACCTTGGAGGGTTTGGACAAGCCGTATGTATACCTTCGCTAACGATGAAGACAGTAGCGACGACGAACAAGGTTCGGAGAACGGCAACGATGAGCCTGAGGGGCGGGCGGAGGAGGGCGATGGAGGCCATGAAACGTTTATGGAGGGCGTTGACTCCAGCGATGTAGACGACGGCGGTAAGTTTGTTTTGCACAAAACCAACTCTTCATCTTCTTATTGTTGATGATGATGTCCTTCATGTTGACGTTAGCTTGTTTCCGCGAACGGCTACACTCAAATTATGATAAGTTCAGGTTGAGTTTGGCGACGTGGCACCCTAACTTCTTGTGTTTCCCGTTGCCTCGTTCGCAGACATCTCTCAACCCCAGACCGACGAGCTAGTTCTTCTGGACGACGCTGACAGCATGGACCCACAAGACCCGTAGGATGAGATACAGGGAATGGAGATCCAGGCAGGCTTTCGTATTCAAGAAGCTAAACCCTTTGCTCTTGACAGATTGCTTTTGCGGCGTGGAGTGCTCGTTAGGCTGGGCATGGGGTGGTTTGGAGGCCTGATCACTCAACAATCTCAGAAGGACACTCGCCACCTGTACGACTACTGTGTGCAGCTGGAGCTAGACCAGAGTACGCGCAAGATGAAAATGCCCTTAGACAAGTACGGCGGAGATTCGGATGCGGCTGTAGGCTCCTGTTTTTTTTTTCTTCTTAATATCACACAACAAATCCATCTTTATCTATAGAAATAAGTCTAAGATAGATTAGCAATGAATCCATAGCGTGAGCGAAAGCTACCTGTATGTCTACGGTTTCCCAAACAGCATACAGCGATATCTCCTCTGTGGGTAGCAGGCTCAACAAGGCAGTTTGGTAGCCATCTTGTGTATCTATCTGCATGTTATGTTGGGAAGTTGTAGACGGAAGATTTAGGGGAACTCGGTTTGTCGGGTGTTCTATTATGGCGCCCTTATGTGGTTGCGGAGCAAGCGCGTCTCGCGGTGTGTATATTTTCGCCATCAACTTATTTATTGTGTGTGGTGTATGAGAGCATGTGCGGGACGGTGTTGTGTAATTGCACGTCATTAAATGTGCGAAGGGCACGGGAGAACATTATCACATCATTGCCTCCTGACGTGGCCGCCGATAGACTCGAGAGGCGTGTGGTTGAGGTTTCATCACCGACATGTGGGTGTGTGTTAAATGCAGTGGGTATGGTCACCTCTCTCGCCCGTATGTCTGCAGTATGGCTACCTTTCCCATTTGTAGATAGCGCGGACCATAAGTAAAGACAGAGTGTATCATTTCATGCATCTACATCAGTTGTATGTGGAAAGGGAGGAATGAGAGGTTGTTCAATTTCGACGGTGTGTGTATGGGTAGGAGAAGTACTCCCTGCGTCCGTGTTGTTCCCAGATGTTGTCGCATCAAGTGGCAGCATGTGTCGTGGACAGGTAGACGTGGAAGGGCAGCGACAGGTAAACGGCAGCAGCAGTATGTTGTGCATGGTGGCATGTTGGGCTTGTACAAAGACGCAGTCCATCTTCGACCATACACAAAGGAGTTTGTTCGTACCTGTCGGAGTTTTGGAGGGCCCAAGTCAGTCTGAAGGAGCAGTAGGAAGGAGGGAACAGGCGCAGTGCTTCTCTACAGCTTTAGACTCCGTCCTCCTCAAATCCTAACGGAGATGATTACGTATCGCACAACGGCTGGATCCGAATTGCCGGCTAGCTCCGAAAACCAGGAGATGTGGGGGAGTAGCTCAGACGAATGGCTGCGTGCGCGCTCCTTCATGTGCATACTTGGCTGACCCTTTGAAGGGTAGAATTCTGGTTCAGTGAAATTTGGCGGCATTTCGGCATTTCCCGTAATTGCCGTTGTCACCTGGAGCATGGGACACGTAAATTTGTCACTCTACTTGCAAGGGACACGTTTCATTTTCAGTGTTCCCCCTTGCGGTCTCGCTTGAGAGCATTACTAATTTAGTAGACCAGGAAGGGTACGCAGGACGAACGTCACCTTTGTGGACCAAGAAGGTTGACAGTTGCTGCTCCATGCCTTGGTATTTTCTTGTATCGACAGCAGTACTAGTGTTGCTCATGGTTGACAGCCGACAATATGTATAGCAAATGATGTTAAAATACTGCAAGCACAAGAACGCCCCTTTCTGGAGAAGAATGGACGACGAAATAAGAACTTGGCAAATAAGATCTGGTGCTCGGGTTGAAACAGCCAATAAGAACTGAGCCTCGCCCAATAGAGGAGGTTCGAAGTCCGGGCCGGCACTGCTGTATATAGCAGTTCTGANTATAGCAAATGATGTTAAAATACTGCAAGCACAAGAACGCCCCTTTCTGGAGAAGAATGGACGACGAAATAAGAACTTGGCAAATAAGATCTGGTGCTCGGGTTGAAACAGCCAATAAGAACTGAGCCTCGCCCAATAGAGGAGGTTCGAAGTCCGGGCCGGCACTGCTGTATATAGCAGTTCTGACTTCTTCATGGTGCATCATGAGTACGAGGCAAACGCACGTCTCATGGACGTGTTCCATTTCGACCCCAGACACGATGGCACCTTAACTAGCCAGTACCGCGGTATACCCGTAGCTGAAAAGCCGCCTACATGCAGATTTGGGCATTCCATCACATGTTAACTCTAAGGGTGCCGTTTAGAGTTAGAGCGAGGAAGGTGGAACATGTGAGCGGCGATTGTCTATACAGCAGTCCGTATGCCAACAAACGGAGACTACAGGGGTGTGTTAAAGTCCCTCCGTGCTCCCTACCACTTTCGTGGAAAGGATTTCGGTTCAGAGAAACTGGCCACAACTCAAGGTCGTGTTGGGACACAGCAGAACACACCAGCGTATGGCACACCAGGTGATGAAGTGCTCCTTGTGTTAGACTGATGTACAACGACGGAATGCTGTTTCGGGCAACAATCTGAGTTTTCGGACCCACCCAAAACCTGACAGCAACACAGCATGAGCATGTGTTGAAGCCTACCTGCAGTCCTTTGCTGGCAGTATGCCGGTTATGCGGTGGTGATTCCCTCAGCGTTCGCGCTGCGTGCGGTATTGCGCTGGGAAGTAGAAGGCCTGTCCGTGAGCTTTTGGTTTGGACCAGAAGCTTCCTGCAATTGGGCCGCCAAATTCCCAAAAGTGGCTGTGGGGGGGAGGGGGGTCAGGCTGATTCCCAGTCTATTTTCAAGACACATTTGCCCACAGGTTCTCGTTGTGGTGGGCTCACCATCCTAGCACCGCCCGCGGATGCACAGGCCTCACGACGTTGTTCCAGCAGCGGACACGG